TGGAGGGATGGTGGGGTTTGGAGCCAACGGCCAAGAAAGAATTCTTGAAGATGTCTTTGGTGCAAAAAAGGTGATTTTATTAAAGCATGGGGACAGGACCTGTGGGCAGAAAGATATGCACTGGAGTTGTGAAGAGTGACTGGGTTATACACATGGAGTTGGGGGAGATAAAGTCAAGAGGAAGTTTCTTAAAGGGGTTTTCATATGCTAAAGACTCACGATTACTGGAGGTCTAGCTATTGTCAAACTGAAGTTGTTTTAATCTCTACCAAAGCATTATCATTAAGACAGTAGGGAGTTCCTGGAGATTAGGCTATTTGATAAAATTGCCCTTTTCTTGTAATATTACTAAGAGATTTATAAACTGAGACTCTTATCAGTTTAACCATTTGTTTTCTGTCCTTTGTTCTTGGGCAACCAGAAGTGCCTGAGGAATATCACACATATCCTACCTGGGGAGGTGAAGGGGGTTGTGCTAGTTTGTGCTTGGCCCTCAGCTTGCCTTATGGTCCCTCATCACAGAGTAAAACATTTCTCCAGAACTCCATACTGTCATGTTAATGCTTTGCTAGAGGGAAAAACAACCTTAGCGTGACAATAGCTAGCCCTCCAATAATCTGTGAGTCTTCTTTTTCTCTTGGTGGGGGGCACAAGTGAGCAAGGGGCAGAGAGGGAGAATCCCACAAGGGGTAGAGAGAGAAAGAGTGGGAGAGTGGGAGAGTGGGAGGGAGAAGCAGGGCTCACCCAATGCAGGGCTCGAACCCACCAAAAGTGGGGCACTAGCTCACCAGATGTGGGACTCATAAACTGTGAAATCATGAGCCACCCAGAGCCCTCTGTGAATCTTCTTTAGCATATGAAATCCCTTTAGAAACTTCCTCTTGACTTATCTCCCTCAACTCCAGAAATGGTCACCCTTCACACTTATAACACAGTTCTTTCTGCCCACAGCTCTTCCCGTCCCCATGCTTTAATAAAATCACCTTTTTGCACCAAAGATGTCTCGAGAGAATTCTTTTTTTGACTGTTGGCTCCGGACCCCCACCACTCCAAAATCCTCTCATACCCCAGCATGAGTGGAAAAGTGCCAGAAGAAAAAGTCACAAAAGATTCATTGTTGTTAAAGCAATAACAAGTGCTCTCTCTTAAAGGTTAGTTCACAATTCCAAGGTGGCATTTATGAACGTGAAAAGATAGTACTAGAAGAAATCATGAATGACTTGTTTTTTACTATTATTTTAGGGTGAGGAATGTTCTTAGAAAGAAACAAACCCCAGAATCTACAAAGGAAAATAATGACAATTATGTAAAAAATATAATAGGAAAAAACTTTGTTAAAAGGTGTAACACAAACTGGGAAAAAAAAAATATTTGTCCAACCTACAACCAAATGTGAATTTCCTTAGCATATAAGGAACACTTAATAAATAAAGAGAACAGCCCAAGAGAAAAATAGACCAAGGACAAAAAAGTAATTAAACTGCTAATAAACACAATTATTTTTTAATGAGCAAGCTCAACTCACTGGTGTATAAATAAAATACAATTTTTATTTTTCCAAAAGCTGCTGTGAACTGTACCATCTTGATCACCTTCCCCTTTCCTTGTCACCCACTCCTACATGTTCATAGTTGGGCTAACTTGGCAATATCTCAACCTAATTCCACAAGTTCTCAGTCATTAAAATAATCTCATTCTAGTTCTTACATTTTGGTCGTGTTCATTTATAAAATTTCCGTCTCCTCTGTGATGAAAATCTTAATTTATAAAACTTCAATGTCCAAGGGCCAGTTCGACCTGCCCCTCCCCCTCCAGCACAGGCTGAGGGGAGGCTGGGAATGAGGAAGGGGGGGCTCTGCTGTCTCACACGCCAGGCCTGTCGGGGAGAGGGCTTCTGCTTTTAGGTTGAAAGGAGGAATGCTTCTGCCTGGGGCAAGGTTGTCCCTTTCTCTATAAAGTTGCCACCTTATTCTCTACTACTAATTGGCTTTGACTTCCATAAATGGGGAAGAGGGCTGGAGCCAGCTCTCCAGCAACTATAATTTGATTCTTCTAAGGAGACCCCTGTCAGAGCCTTCCTCTACAAAGTGAGAGCTCAGGGAGGTCTAGGTAAGGCCGGACCTCTTTCTCACGCACTCACCTTTACATCAGCCTTGAAAGAGGACTTTAGCTGCCTCTATTTTAGCCTCAAACTTTCCGGTTGTGTTCTTCTTTCTAGCTTGTCTCTAGGCTCAGGTGGAATACCCAATAGGCGTAAGATCCCCTGATCAGGAACTAGCCCCTCAAGCAATAAGGACTACCTTAAGCCAGCAAGACCCCACCCGTGACTGACTCCAAGACAACGATGGATTTGACCTTCACTGCCTACCTGCACGGACGCACCCACCTTTGCCCCACATTTTCCTTATATACACGTGGAAGTACTTTTGTCACTTTGGAGACAGTCTTTGGGGTGTTAGTCCTGTCTTTCTAGTGCTGGCCTCACTGAAATAAATTCCTTTCTCATTTCAACACCACTTGTCTCTCTGCCTCTGGATTTTGTCAGCAGCCAGCAGCCAAACCTGGTCTGTTTGGAACCCAGGTGCTCTTGCACCTGGCCCCTGGCTCCAGCCTCAGGGACAGACAGGAGGTCTGCGAAGGTCAGGGAAGCCTGAGAAGGCCTCCCACTCTGCATCCTCCTCCTCCCATCCCAAGGCAACTTCGGAGATGGAACATTGGGAAATCCTATCCACTGCGGTGAAGATATTTTTAATAATTTTTATTTTGAAACCTAGTTCTTAAAAGCTTGAAATCAAGAATAAAATGTATTAACTATTTATTTGCAGTCAGGAAGTGGGGTAGGTACGTTCTGGGGAGGGGGAAGCTACCCCCTCCCCCCACATCCTTCCCATGTCAGCAGCTGGGCCGCTCCCTACTCCAGAGGCAGAAAAACCCTAAAATGAAACCGCTCTTTTCATTGACTGGTCAGTAGCCTTGAAAGCAATTCTCTGATTGTAACCTGCTTTCTCTCCTACCTCTATCAAAAATCTTTCTAGTGAGAAACCCACTATACTCCCAAAGCCTCGAGCCCTGTGTTTGTATTTAGAGAAGAATATACCTGTACGCTGACATAAACCTCAGTTTACAAAGTTAAGTATATGAGAAATCTCATCTCTGTTTTAAAACTATATTAATTTAGTTTTCATTGAGTCCCCACGAAGCTAACCTGGCAGTAAATTCAAGCCTGGCCCTTTTCTTCCATTCTGGTCTTAGGCCACAGTAGTCTTTTTGGAGCTTCTGTCTCTCTCCCCATGATGGCCTTACCCCCTCCCCTCAAGCCCTAATCTCCTCAACTGGTAAAATGCTTCTAGGAAGGGGAGCCAGGGTGGCTCTGTCGGTTAAGCATCAGACTCTTGATATCAGCTCAGGTCATGATCTCACAATTTGTGGGTTCAAGCTCCACATCACACTCTGAGTTGACAGCACAGAGCCTGCTTGGGATGCTCTCTCTGCCCCACCCTCTCCCACCTCAAGATAAATAAATAAATTAATTAAAAAAAAAAAAAAGAAAAAAGAGCTTCAGAGAAAACAAACCCAAAAAGTCTCTAAGCTTCCACAGACTTTCTCCACCCTTCTTCCTTGGAGAAAATGATAACACCTTGTTATGAGCAGAGACGGAGGTGGAGACGATTAAAAAAAAAAAAAAGAAGAAGGAAAGTATGGGGAAAATAACAGTCGATTCACCAAAATATTTCCAACCAATTCTTGGTCTTGTGCTCTGTTCACTCAGTGCTCAAATCACTCTGACCTGTAAGGTGCCCCTCACAATGTGACATCAAGCACATCCCCTAGGAAGTATGGTGTACTGGCATGGGATTTTATTTAAGGTGGAATTAGATGCCAATCTCACTATAAATAAAGCTCCAAGCAGGATGGTAAGAAGTAAAGAAGACCCATTGTAAATAATCCCTCTTTACTTCTGAGGTCTGTGAATTACTCCACTAATTCATCTACTTTGAAATTTTCTCTTTGGTTGGATGCACAGGCATTTAATAGTAAAATAATTAGACATGAGTAGATTGTCTAGGTGCACAGTTAATGGAGTTTAAATGCTTCTTTCACATTCTCTCTTCAGCTTGCTTGACTAGCTGACATTATTAGCTCAGGCTGGGACTTATTTATGAATAGGCAAGTGATAGCATCATCTGTTTGTGTGATCTAAGGGTTCAAAAGTTTCACCCCAAAGAAACAAATTCTCTATCTACCATCATTGCTATTTGAAATTCTGCTAGTTAACCATTTATTTCTTCGTAATAAGCAATGTCTCTGGGATAGCTAATGTGTCCTTTAAAATGCAGTTATTAACCTTGGGAAAGAGAACACTTTTATGTGATGTGATTTTATCTGATTGCTTTTAATTTAGAAGGAGCAGCTAATACCCTGACTCCACTGGTGTCCTGGGAAATGTAGACAGTGATTACTGGCAAAATGGTGTGTAACTAATATGGCCCCTGTCTTGGCGTGCCTGAGGTTAACAAATAGGGCCACTTTTTTTTTTTTTTAAAGTACCCATAACTTGGAGACTTAGAATCTTCATCCCTTAGATTCTAGAAATTACTTTTTTTTTTTCCAGCCTTGATCCCGGAGGAGGATGACTTAAATTAGAGCCCTCCAGCTGACTCACAGTGAAAATGTAGGGTGACTGGAGTGACTGGGTGGCTCAGTCAGTTAAGTGTCCAACTTTGGCTCAGGTCATGGATCTCACAGTTGGTGGGTTTGAGACCCGAGTCGGGCTCTGTGCTGACAGCTCAAGGCCTGGAGCCTGCTTCGGATTCTGTGTCTTCCTCTCTCTGTTCCCCTCCCCTGCTAGTGTTCTCTCTCTCTCTCTCTCTCTCTGAAAAATAAATAAATAAACTTAAAAAAAATGTAGTGTGAGTAAAAATACTCTATGGTCTTAAGCCACTGAAATTTTTTATTTGTTTGTCACTGGGACATATTCTAATTTATTCTTTTTTTTTTTTTTTCCTCCTGAGTTTCCTTCCCAAAGGAATTTTTGGAAGTCACTGAGGATTGCTTACATTGTCCACAGATTCTGGCTGTTGCTTGCCACCTCTGCTGTGCTCTAAACGGCACTGCACCAGGACTCGGGAGTCACCTCTTGATATCTTGCAGGTTCTGCTGTTCTGCTTCTGTGGCATGCTTCTTCTGCTCCTCTCTCTTCTTCTTTTTCTTCTTCTTCACCACTTTCCTTCATGCCCCTTTGGTAGCTCTCCAAGATACAGCTAAAAGAAAGATGAAGACTTCAAAATATTTACTGAAGACTGAGGACAACAGAAAGGAAGTAGTGTCCAAAAAAAGAAAAGTTAAAACTGTATGCAGGGTATTGCTCTTAGGGTGTGAGAACATACAGCCTTTCACAAGGGATATCCTCCTAATGACTGTCTCTCTCCTCAGCTTCCTCCACTGTTAAAGTCACAATTTTATTTCCCACCAAGAAAAGGACCATTCACCATGTCCAATACACTCCTGGACCCCATTATCAACATAAAATCATCTCCAGAAGTTCAACCCTCCCTTCTTTAAGAGAATCTGCCAAATTATTAAACATAGCTGTTCAGCAACTCATCTCTTAGATGACATGGACCAATTTGTAGAAAGACACAAATTATCCACTCTGACACAAGAAGAAACAGAAAATCTGAATAGACCTACAACAAGCAAAAAAAAGTTAAATTAGCAATAAAAATTTTTTCCACAAAGAAAAGCCTCTAGGCTCATTTGGCTATACTGGTGAATTCTATTAACTATTTAAGGAAGAAATAATACAAATACCAACAAATTCTTAGAAAGTAGAGGAGGACAGAACACTCCCCAATTCATTTTTTCAGGCCAGTATTAGCCTGATACCAAAGCCAGGTTAAAAGCATCACAAGAGAAGAAAACTAGGCTCACAAATACAGATGCAAAAATCTTTGATAAATTATTAACAAAACAAATGCAGGAAACTATAAAAAGAATTATGCACCATAAACAAATGAGATGTATCCCAGAATGTAAGGTTGGTTTGACACAAAAAAATAATTAATGTAATACCTATATAAATAGAAGAAAAGAGGGGGAAAAAAGACTATCCCAATGAAGCAGAAAAATCACTTGATAAATTCCAATACTCATTCATGATTAAAAACTTTTAACATACCAGTAATAGAAAGAAACCTATATAGAAACCTTATAGAAAGGGCTTCTATAAAAACCTACAGCTAAGATATTCTTAATGTGAAAATTCGAATGCTTTTTCCTAAGATTAGGAAGACAAAGGTCCACTTCAACCATATGTGGTAGTTGGTTTTATATGTCAACTTGGCTGGGTCACAGGGTGCCAAGATTAAACATTATTTTGGGGTGTGTCTGCGAGGGTCTTTCCAGAAGAAATTAGCATTTGAATTGGTGGACTCAGTGAAGTATATTGCATCCCCCCCCAACAAAGTGGGTGGGCATCATCTCATCTGTTAGGGACCTGAATAGAACAAAAAGTGGAGGATGTGAGAATTCATTTACTTCCTGCCTACCTGCTTGAGCTGGGACCTTAGTCTCCTGCCCTGGAGTTGGGATTGACACCATCAGCTCCTCTAGTCCTCAGGCCTTTGGACTCAGGAATTACATTTCTGGTTTTCCTGGGTTTCCACCTTGCAGATGGCAGATTGTGGGACTTCTCAGCCTCCATAGTCATGTGAAGCAATTTTTCATAATAAATGATCTTTCTATATCTACATCATTTATCTATATCATCTGTCTCTCTTATCTGTATATCAGCTATCTATATATCTTCTTTCTATATGTACCCATATGTACATCCTATAGATTCTGCTTCTTTAAAGAACCTTGGCTCGCACATCACTTCTATTTATTTTTTTAACAGTTTTATTAATAATTTATTTTCTAATTTACATCCAAGTTAGTTAGCATATGGTACAGCAATGATTTCAGGAATAGATTCTTTAATGCCTCTTACCCATTTAGTCCATCCCCCCACTTCTATTTATTATTGTACTAGAGGTTCTAGCCAGTGCAACAAGGCAAGAAAAATCATGTAAGGGGCATGTTAAAGCATACAGATTGGAAAAGTAGAGATAAATTGTAAATATTTGCAGATGATGCACTCTTTTGTGTAGAAAACCACAAGGAACCTACAAAATCTGTTACACCTATTAAGTGAGCTTAGCACTGTCATAGGATTACAAGATGAGTGTGCAAAAATCAATTGTATTTCTATTTACTAGCAACCAACAGTCTGAAAATGAAATGAAGAAAACAAACATATTCATAATGATATCAAAAGGAATAAAAGCCCTAGGAATATTTAACAAAAGAAATGCAAGACTTATCTAATGAAAACATAACATTGATGAAAAAACTTTAAAAGATCTATATAAATGGAAAGATATACCATGCTTATGGAATAGAAGACTCCATATTGTGAGGATTGCATTTCTCCTCAAATTGATCTGTACATTCAAAACAATCCCAGTCATAATCCCAACAAAGTTTGTTTGTTTGCTTGTTTGTTTTTTAAAGATATTTTTAATGTTCATTTACTTTTGAGAGAGAGAGTGCAAGCAGGGGAGAGGAAGAGAGGGAGGGACAGCAGATCCAAAGTGGGCTCTTCGCTGACAGCTGAGACTGATGTGGAGCTTGAACTCGATCCCACAAGATCATGACTTGAGCTGAAGTCAGACACTTAACTGACTAAGACACCCAGGTACCCCTGTTTGTTTGTTTTTTTATAAATTGACAAGCCAATTCTAAATTATATGTGCAAATGAAAAGGACCTAGAATAGCCAAAATATATTTTTTAAAAAGAATAAATTTCAAACTTAATGTAAAGCTACAGTAATCAAGGCAATGTGGTATTGGCGTAAGTATGGGCATGTAGATTAAATAAATATAATAGTTCAGAAATAAGCCCACACATTTATGATAACTTAATAATTGATAAAGCTGCCAAGGTTGAAAAGATAATATTTTTAGCTCTCTGTGCTGCATGGTTGGACATACATATGCAAAAACAAAAAAGAGCCAAACCCAAGACCTTTACCACACACTATACATAAAAATTAACTCACTATGAATTATAGACCTAAATGTAAGAGCCAGATCTAGCCAAACCTGGAACAAAAGAGAGAAAAACCTTCATGATCTTGGGATAGACAAAGAGTTCTTAGATTTCTTAGATACTAAAAACATGATCCATAAAAGAAAAAAAAACTGATTAATTAAATTCCATTAATATGGAAAACTTGTTTTTTAAAGGATACCATTAAGAGAATGAAATTACAGACAAGCCTGGGAAAGCTATTTATAAACCATTTGTCTGATTGAGGACTTGCTTCTAGTATAAAGAATTTTATAGTTGTATAATAAGATGATCTAACTTTAAAAACTAACAAAATATTGAAAAAGATATTTCACCAAGAAAAGTATACATATGGATAATAGTCATTAGGTAATGCAAATTAAAATCAGGAGATATCACTTCACACTTTTTAGATTTGCTAGAGTAAAAAGAATTTTCAATATTGTGAGGACGTGGAGAAATTGGAACTGTTTAGAATATAAAATTGTATAGCCACTTTGGAAAATAGTCTGATAGTTTCTTAAAAAGTTAAACATAGGGGCGCCTGGGTGGCGCAGTCGGTTAAGCGTCCGACTTCAGCCAGGTCACGATCTCGCGGTCCGTGAGTTCGAGCCCCGCGTCAGGCTCTGGGCTGATGGCTCAGAGCCTGGAGCCTGTTTCAGATTCTGTGTCTCCCTCTCTCTCTGCCCCTCCCCCGTTCATGCTCTGTCTCCCTCTGTCGCAAAAATAAATAAATATTGAAAAAAAAAATTAAAAAAAAAAAAGCTAAACATAGACATACTATTTGACTCTGCAATTTCATTCCTAGGTATTGACTCAAGGGAAATGAAAACATATGTCTACACAAAGACTTGTACATGAATGTTGATAATGACATTATTCATATTAGCTCCAAACTGGAAGCAATCAAATGTCCGGGCATCTGGTGAATAAATAATCAAATGGTGGTATATCCATGCATGGACATGGAATACCACTCAGCAGTAAAAAGGAACAGACTGCTCAGACTTGTGGCAACACGGATGAAAATCAAAAACATTACAATAAGTAAAAGAAGCCAGACACAAACGTTGCATATTGTGAATTATTCCATTTACCTGGAATTTCTAGAGAAGGCAAAATGATAGCGATGGAAAACAGATGGGAGTGAGAATGGGCCTGACTGCACATGAGCATGAGGAAAATTTTTAGGGTGATGGAAATATTCTAACACTCAGTTGTGATGGTAGCATAACTCTATACATTCAGTAACACTTAGGGATTTTATGGCATCTGTGCTAGTGGGGCATAGTTTGTGGCACTGAACTCTTTGGCCTTAATAGAAGATTCTACCCAGCTGCTCCCCACCTCCCACCCCATCTGGGTCACCTATAAAGCCTCTTACTCGGCAGTGTCATAATGTCACATTGCTCATACTTTCATTAACATTGCTAGCCAGTGCCCTTCAAGGCAAAGAAAGGGAGGCTTCTCTCAGATTCCAACAAGCTGTTGTGGGACAATTTGGGTCTGTTTGGTCAGAGATGGTTTTACTAGCAGTTTAGTCTGAGATTTGTCTTCAGTATCTTTCACTATCTGATAGTGAGGTTCCTGACTTAATGGTTGACTAATGCCTCTACCTGATTGTATGTTTCCATGGACATACTTTAAAAAGAAACGGGCATCTGCCAAGTGACTAGATTGGTGTAGAGGTGTTCCACATAGGGAGCATGTGAAGCCTGACACCACTCCTGAGAGCTGCTAGCAATGGTCCCAAATCCAGGTTGTCTCCAGGGGGCATTTGCACCTCCCCAGTTAAGTGTCACTCCCTCTGTTTCCTCGATTCTTTTCCCTTCTTAGACATATCTTGTGAACTCTAGGATTAATCTCTTATTTTACCCACCTTTTCCTTTCTATTTTCATTCCTTTGTCTGTTTCTCCTTCTATCCTGAGGATTTCCTGAATCCCCTCAACTTCCAACCTCCTTGATATTTTGAACTACAGAGGAATATATAGAAGGTTTTTTCTTTTTCCTTTTCATTGAATCCTCCTTGAGACATATATCAGCATTCAATGGAAACTTCTTCTGTATCTCAATTATTTCTAATGCAGCAAGAGGAACAATTATTAACGTATGATCAATGTATTGACTAATTATCTTGGTGAAGAAT